GTCATTTCTCAATATTTCTACCAATTTTAGTAATTCACTATTTTGGTCATAACTTTTCTGAAGTAATTCATAAAAAGCATGTTCCATGTCACATACGGGAGTTCCCAAAATAGGGAACATGTCTTCGTCATCAGGATCATATGCAGGGTTATCAGGGAGATTAGGGAGTGCCCATCTGCTTTATCCATCAGCATTCATGTGTTTCTTGCCAGCTTTATGGATTATGGTCATATGCCCTCTATAGTGCTGAATAGCAATTTGCCATCTTAACATGTGTCGGTGGGGAGTTTTCATATTCATCAGAGTTTTAATTGCGGTACAATCAGTGATAACTACAAAGTGAGAACCTTCTAAGTAGTAATGTAATTTGTCTAGAGCCCATACCAAATATAAGCATTCCATTTGGCGGGCCCCATATTTCCTCTCGGATTCTTTAATTTGTCTGGATATAAAAAGGACTGGTTTTTCCATGGGTTTGTCATCTACAATAAATTCTTGATGAAGAGCAGCTCCAAGCCCATCTAAACAAGCGTCAATATAAAGCATAAACGGTTTGTCATAATCTGGTTGGGCTAGGACTGGGGCAGAAGTGAGTAATCTTTTTAATTCTTCATAATTTTTGACTCTTGCCCAGGTCATCTCATAGATAGTGTCATCTTTACACAGTGCGTATAAGCTCTTGCTCACTATGGCAAATTGAGGAATATGTTGCCTGTAGTAACTACATAAGCCTAGGAATGACATCATTTCTTTCTGTTATGAGGGAGAGCTTTGTTCATTACAGCAGCCACTTGGTTTTGATCTACAGCTAAAGTTAGGCCAGATACTATCCTACCTAGAGCTTTGAGTTCTCCATAACCAAAGTTGCACTTTTTAATGGACATTTTCAAACCAGTTTTGATGGCGGTCCTCAGCACTAGATTTATTTTCTCTAAGTGGGTTTCCCAATCATTTGAATATATAATTATATCATCTATGTAGACCATCATCCAGTCTTGTCTGATAAAGGCACCAAAAATCGAGTCCATCATTCTCTGAAAAGGGGAGGGGGCATTTTTGATTCCAAATGGCATTCTCAAATATTCATACATTCCCCAAATGAAAATTATTCTCAAAAATTGTC